CACACATTTTCCATGTGTTTTCACACTTAATATCATCACATGAAGAAGACAAAAACACCTTGATGAAGGAACAGTAACATGACTTACTGTGTTCCTAATATTTTTGTTAGAGCACTTCTATTTTAATATATACTTCCACCAATATAAAGAGGAAAGTTTGGTTATTGTCTCTGCACTTAACTGAAATGTTTTTGCAGTATTCTGAGGTAAATAATTTAAATAAAACATATTAGCAGGGGTAGAACTTGAAACAGGTAACCTACCTGTGTGGGTTTCAACAGAAATTTACTTGTCTGTGTGCACATTTTTATGCCCTTTAGTTTTTGGACTGTCAAAAGTTACTACTATACCTGAATATTTTCTCTCATATTTCACAAGTGTATGGTTTCTCACCTGTGTGGATTGTCATATGTCTTTCCAATTGTGACATGACACAGAATATTTTCCCACAGGTTTGCAAGCCTACGACTTCTCACCTGTGTGTGTTCTCATGTGGACCAACAAACTACTTTTAAACCTGAAACTTTTCCCACAGGAGTTGCAAGTATATGGCTTCTCACCAGTGTGTAATCTCCTGTGGACCAACAAACTACTTTTAAACCTGAAAATTTTCCCACAGGATTCGCAAGTATATGGCTTCTCACCAGTGTGTGATCTCATGTGGGCCATTAAATTATTGTTACGTCCAAAACCCTTTCCACAGGTTTTGCAAGTAAAAGGCTTCTCACCTGTGTGTGATCTCATGTGGACCAACAAACTACCGTTACATCCAAAACTTTTTCCACAGATTTTACAAGTGTAAGGCTTCTCACCTGTGTGTGTTCTCATGTGGGCCAACATACTACTGCTTTGTACAAAACCCTTTCCACAGGTTTTACAAGTATATGGCTTCTCACCTGTGTGTATTCTCATGTGAGCCAAAAAATTACCGTTACATCCAAAACCTTTTCCACAGATTTTACAAGTAAAAGGCTTCTCACCTGTGTGTGTTCTCACGTGGACCAACAAACTACCATTACATCCAAAACCTTTTCCACAGATTTTACAAGTATAAGGCTTCTCACCTGTGTGTGTTCTCATGTGGACCAACAAA